CCAGTTTTTATACTTCGCCAGCATTACCATAATAATGTGTTTATGTAGTAATTTGTCAAAAATATTTATATACAAAGTAAATCTCGGCTGTTTCTCATAATTTTACCGAATTACTTGTTCGTTATCTAAATTTCACCAATGTTATCGGCAAAATTTTAACAAAAAAAAAAAACGGAAACAAAATCTAGATCTTTGACACACAAAAAAGAATATACAGATGTATATTATAATTATAAAACGGTGTGTAATCCTAATTCTAACTTTAAATTGGACCTTCATAAATAATATATATTTAAGATATATTTTGACGATCGTAAGCAAGGCTACGTAGCACATATTTACGTACGTACATACAACATTCGCTGATATTATCTCGAGGTAGAGAGTAATTTGGAAAATAACATTTCATTTTACATTATACACGAACTTGGTATCAACTTTAATCTTAATTTATAATTCAAGATAACGATAACAGATAAGTAATATTTATATAAACAATGATGTCTTTCTTTTTTTTTTTTTTTTGTGCGTAAATTAGACCAGTACTTTGATGCGGAGTTCAGGTTCATTTCTCCGATTATGTTTTCTTAATGGAACAATAATTTTATATTGTTATAATTTAATCAACCGAGGGTTTTCTCCTATCAGTTACGTTACGTTGACTTCTAGTGTTACGCGTTAAAGCTAGATACTGACGGTTATAAATAAATGCTTTCAAGCAAAAACATTCAAGTCCGAATTTATGTTTTATACTTTTCTTCATATTTAACCCCTGAAAAAAACCTTATTAAATTGAATTATTATGATGTACAAAGCTTTATTATTTCAGAGTATAATAACAGATAATATTGCATATACATGTGCGTGCGTTCAATACATACGTGCATAAATACCAGTACAGTAAATTATCACAATTTAATTAGATTTTCTTAGATATAGTTCTATACAGCGAAAATTATAAATTCTGATTTATTAGGCATTTACTTGATATTCAAATTGGTTGTGAATGGTGCAGATATAATTGACGTAATTTGGTTACGATAATATAAAAAAATTCATACAAACCGGTTTTAATATAAACTGTAACTAGTGAAGACATGCCAGCATTTATAATAGTTACGGATAAACGTTTTATTTTCAATAAACTTTAATGAATATTATATTTTTTGAATAGTATATGAACAATATAAACAATTGTATTCTTATCAAGTGTTTGCCTTGCTGCGTTATCTTTCAACCACTATAAAAATGAAGCAAAATTTTCAAATAACTAAACTATTTCTTCCAACATGCCGCTTGATAACCACAATCCACGTTTAAGACTCAATAGGAATATCCGACGTAGAAAATTCTCTACACGTCCTGTTCACAATAACGGTGCGTCTCGAACGGTTATCACTCGCGTGAACACGCCACAAATAGGACCACGATCATCTCTAATTATGGAAGAAAAAATGTTGCATGATGGGTTCTCTTTTAATTTGTGTCAGAAGCCCCATGAATCTACTGTAATGTGTATGCATGGAGGAATCACGCCAAATTACTAAGCTCGAATTTCCGTGCATTAACTTATTTCACAATTAGTTTCTACACAAGAACAATTAATTCTTATTAGAAATTTTATGCTTAGACGTCTATACCTCGTAAGAAATAGATAATTTTCATTATGACCTTATAAAAAATTGTTTTTTTTATAGCTCTTTATATATATATATATATATTCAAGATTTTATTAGTATTTGAATAATAAAATCCTTTTAATATTACTTTTAATTTCAATCTTATGTATTTTTAATAAAACCTTTTAGTTTATTATTTAGCGAATATATAATAACAAAGTATACTTATTTATTATTATCATTTTTTAATTTAATTTCATGTATAAGAATTCTAAAAAAAATTATAAGATTTAAATAAAATTTATTTATTTAGTTTAAATATACACACAAACGGAATCTTTGTATGAATATAATGCATGCCTTTGATTAGTCCCAAGCCTTAGACAAATTTTTTAGATATATTTATATGTAATATTGTATAAATAGTATACTAACAAAAGTGCAGGCAAAATAACGCATAGTACAATTAAACTAACATTTATAAAATATATTAGCCTGTCTATTTATTTTATTATAATACGGTCTTATCTACATATCGTATCGCGTTGGGATAACAGATAATGACGGAGTTTTCGGACTTTGAATAAAGTTATTTAAAACTATTATATATGATATATGCTGTATATATAATTAAACTTTGTAGAGATAATTTAAAACATATATATAAAAATGAATTAAACAATTTTAACAAATTAGAAAAAAAAAGCTTGTGTACACACGCAGGTACGTCTGTACGTGCATACGTACATACAAATATTTTGACAATATTATTTTGTTTATCAAAAATTTAAAATTATTGTGAGGTAAATTTGTAATCTTATCAGAACGTTTATTATGAAAAGCGTGATATACAAAATTAAAATTATGTTAAAATTTCGAATCACTATCACATTATTAAGCCAACTAAAATTTTAGTAATTATATATATATCATTAACTCTAATGAAATCTGTGGCTTTCTGATTTGATTCACATTTTGCCAACTCGGGTTAAAGTTTATTGATATCATTATTATGAAAAATTAATATTCATTTGATTGTCTGACAATTTTCAATAACTGGTTCCTTATTAATAATTGCGTTCCTGTTTTTTAAATTGGGCTTATATTATACTATATTAGTGCTATAAGGATAAAGGCCATAAAAGTCGTAAAAGTAATTATTGTACATCTTTTATCAAATATCGGAGTTCCCGAATTTTATGCAATTTTCCGATAGCGTGCTTATTTTTCCGACCGCATATATCTGATATATTGTGTAAATAGTCTTACGTACGTACGTAGATGACTCTTTCAAACTGATCAGTGATAATCTGTGTGCACTTAGCCGATTAGAATGAGCCATTTACAGTATAAACTTTTATAAACTTTTTATAAACATCAGAACCATACCTGCATCGATAATTGCTGAATGTAGCTAGTGTTGTTAAACGAAGCCTATAGGTTTTGTCATTCATAAAAGTCATACTAGATCTCGACTTCGTCAAAAAATTTTGGAAAAGGCCAAACTGACGAAAGGTGACAAAAATAGAGATGTTAAGTATTTAGGATGAACTATATCAACTCACAAACCGTTATCGTTCGAGCCAAAGCCGGTTGAACTAGTTGGTTAATCATGTCCGTTGATACGGCATAAACTATAGCTGCTATATTGGGAATGTACTAGGGAGATTCCCGTTTGAAAGAGGGATTGAATTTTGAGAAAGATGATTAAAGTTTATGTTACATGAAATTTCAAGGTTTTGTATAAACAAGTCACATGCTTGAATTCAATTAATTGACAATCTTCTATTTTTAGAGCTTAGTGTCTTCGAGGAATTGATTTTTTCAAATCTAAAATCTCAATATTTTATTAAGCCAATATATAATTAAAATGGTACTGCATATAAAAATGAACCAATACTTTAACTTGAATTAAAAATCTTAAAACTTAGTTAAAAGATTCCAAACGTCGGTTTTCCTGGTCTATCTAATATATAAACTAGTTCGTGACTGTTACATAATTTATTTTATTTAATCAAAAAATACTAGGGCTTAAATTGGTTAGTTGTGCTCAAAAACTAGTTAAACACTATTATACAATAAACTGGGTTTCAAACTCTGTTAATAATGATTATGCTTGTTAAACATGTTGATCCGAAGCATGTTATTACTGTACTATTGCTGTTTATTAAGTACATGAACTGCCACTATTTATTAAGTACATGAAAAAATGTTATAATATTTACTTCATTTTCAATAATGGAAAATACTTGCTGTTCGTAAAAGAGATATTGTTTGATTTGTATGATCATATTGGTGCCTTTATACAGTGCGGGACAGCAAAAAACATCCAACTTTTTTTTAAAGGCGCCAAATTTTGAGATTTATACTCAAATCTGATTGGCTAATTTTTGTGTAACAAAATTCTGATTGGTTAAAAATTTATACAACCAAATTTTTTTATATATTAAACGAAAAATTTTTAATTACATATAAACTTTAAGCTCTTATAACTTTTTAAAATTGTAATAAAAATAAAAATCTATTTTAACAGAATTGTAGCCTAGACTAAAAGCAACAAATCTGTAAGACAGATTTTTTTAAAAGTTATTTGTTTGTAAGTTATAAGCATTTTTATATTTTATATATAAAAATTGAATGTTTTTTGCTGTTCCGCACTGTAGCACTTTTAGTTCATTCTACCTTCCTGGATGATTATGTTTTTTAAATGTAATTTAATTGTTGAGAGACCCATATCCATTGAGTAGAAATTCTGACAATATTTGTGATGTAGTTTGTTATCAGTTACAACAAGCTCGTCCCAAATAGGGTGGGAAAATATTTGGGTATGCCCTTAGGGGCATGCCTCAGGCTAAGGCATGCCTCTAGATATGCCCTTTATATATTTTTTATATATAAACCATATAAAATTTCTACTTTATTATGTATTACTAAAAGTAATTAGTATACAAAAAGTAGAACTTTAATAAAGAAGATGTAAATTATATAATTAATTAATTATAGCAATAAATTTTGGTATAATAAAGCTCAATAGCCTTAAATATTTAAATTAAAAAAGTATTACTAAATTATAATTTTGTGTAAGAAAAGAGGATAGCTAAAGCCATGTGCCCACGTAATTTTTTGAAGTTTAGATTAAAATTAGAAATAGAAATAGATTAATGTTAGGGTAGAGTTAGAGGCAGAGGATTTTATAGGTAAAATCGTCTTTCTGACATTTTTTGTTAATGCTTCAAGACAGGTTTAGACTGACATTTTTCATATTTTTGCATTTTTTTTATTTTTTAACTTCTTCAGGCTGATCTATGTAAACAAACTTTTGTGATCCTGGTTGGTTGATTTATAAAAAAAAGTCATATGGGTACATGGCTTTAGACAACTCTAAGAAAAGCCAAACTATATTTATTATAATAGCCAATTAGATATCACATAATTGGTTATATTTAATTATATGATAGAGGCCACTCTAGTGCTCAACCTTATCTATATTGTCATCATCATTATTATCTTTAGCATCATTATCATAACTATCATAGTCACTGTTGTTATTATTATTTTGGGTCAAATTGATAGTACTTTCATTGTTACTTTTATTATATTTATTTGATATATACATAATTACCTTTTTTATTTTAAGTTTCCAAATTATTTACCCAGTTATAATCAAATATTAAATCCTCCTCAGATCCATATTGAGCAGTAAAGATACCACAACATGTAAATGATTGTTTGATATAGTTAGGATCAATCTGGTCCTATGCTTTTTTTATCCATTTAGCTACTTTATTGTAGGTGAGTTGTTGAATATGACTAGTAGGTATTAATTTCTTGATTTTTTCTCTTATTCACTCAAGATAGCAATTACAATACTTAAATAATATGTAATTATAAATATTTATATTATCTGATGATCAGTTTTGTATATCTCTATTAAGAATATATTGACTGTAGTATTATTAAAGAAAAACCTGTTATCAGGCTTTTAATTATATTATGTACTGAATATAGAAATTGTATTCAGTATGAAACATAATTAAAATCATAATAATAGGTTTTTTTTTTAGGTTATGTAAATAAAATATTAGTTTTATCTTTTCTTTAAAGGACTTGTTAAGATATATATCTAATAGCTGCAATTTTTTAATAAACATACCTGGAATAACTACAATATTAGATTTTTTTCACAAAAGCAATTTTTAACTGGATCTGTTGTATGACTACAAAATGAATCTAAAACTAGTAGTATACAGAGATTGGTAGATAAAAGTGCTCAATGATTCCAAACATGTTCTATTCAAAAAATCATTTTATCAAAATTTATATATCTCTCTGGGTTAGTTTATACAACAATACCTGGTGGAAAAATTTGTTGTGCCATATTTACAAATTTGAAAATTATCATTGGAGTTAATTTAGTGACATCAGCTAAACAACTTAAAACAACTGTGAAATTTGATTTTTTATATCTGGTTGTGTGAATTCCAACAGTATGAGCACTAGTTTTTTCTGCTATAAAATTGCTAGAAACATCAAATATCAATATTATCTTATCTATATTTCCAATAAGTAGTGCTTGGACCTAGATATCTAGTTACCTATTTTATTCTACTCATTTTATAAAAGCTGAATACAGATAACTGTTAGTTTTTATTTTGCAGATAACTGGATAAATCTACAAATAACTAGATAACTCTATAGATAACCTATTGATCCTACAGATATCTGATTAATCCTATAGATATCTAGATAAAACTGGATAATCAACAGATATTAATAATACTTAACAATTGACGAAATAGTTTCATCTAGATGAATGACAAAACCATTTCATCAGACAACTTAAATTTGATGAATAACAAATGATAAATGACAAAACTTGTAACAAATAATAAAACTTATAACAAAAAATAAAATCTATATTACAAATATAAGAAAAGTTTTAAAAATATATATTATCTTTTGGCTATCATTGAAAACTAGTTAATTTTTTTTTTCCGGTATTAAGGTGACCTCTTTGGCCGGAGAATGTTTTATTAGATAGTTATGTTTTTCATTTACAGTAAAGGTACATATAGCCACACGTGCACCTTTTGAGTGTCTAATTTAAGTAGTCCACCCGAAGGTTCTACACTATCTGTCATACCTGTACCCCAACTAGGGGGGTACCCATTTAAACCCTCTGACTATAACCTACTTCCAAACCAATGGATACTATCTAACCTGAGGCGTAGCTTACTATACACAGGTAGTTCGCTATTGCCTAATCTGATTTTG